CCTCTAAAGAAATCACAACATATTTTCTTTAGATACCTTAGTTCACAGCAGTTTCTGATATGATCATTAATTTCTTTCATTACCTTATCATTCCTTCTCTTTTAAGATAATCCTCAATGGCATAGAAATTTTTACCTTTTTTTGAACTTTTCAGCTCTAAAAAAGCTGGAAACTTTATCTTCCTGTTTATCGGGAGCACATTTTATGCTCCCATTTTTAAATGAGGGCCTTAAATTTCATGGTCTGTAAGTTCTCATTAAGCACTATTTTCTGATTCTATCATCTATAGGAAGTTGCACAGATGAGCAATAATTGAGAAACTTTTTAAAGAATGGATTTCTCAGGCATACATGTCTATGGCATGGGTCAGAGACGTGCCCTAGGAAAGCAAACAAACACAGGGGAGCCAGCGACATAGGGGAACCTGAGTCTTGAGTTTTATTAACGACTCTTGGAAGCACATGATTAGCTAAAGACAGTATGGAAGCTGATTTAGAAAGCTGGAGCCTTATAGTGGAACATTATTAAGGTAGTCTTGTCCTCCATAAAAATTACAATGGAGACAAAGCATTTGGGGTCACTTGAGTTAAACAACAACCGTTGTTTAATATACAGCTGCTATTTCATGTGTTCAGTCTGCAATGTTTCTGGGAATTGGTACTTCCCTCTACATGGCTTCTGCTGGAATTGGCATGTTCATTTGCCCATTTATTCAACAACTATTTATTGACTGTTATATCTGACACTATTGTAGGCCTTGGAGATAAGGCAATGAATAAAGCATGCAAAAATTCCTCATAGACCTTATATTCTGATGGAAGGAATGAGACATTAAGCAAAATAAGTAAATATTTAGTACTCGGATGAACAGTGTGGAGAAAAATCAAGCAAGAAAGCAAGCAAAGAAAGTGCTTGGGTTGAGGGATAAAATGAGGTAAACACTCTGTTCTGTAGGTGGTCTGGAGGGACTTCAAGTGGAATATTTTTGAGACTGGACCAATACAGGATGGATTACATCAAGAATGTGGAATGAGAGGCAGAAAAAGGAGCCTACTAGAAGCAAAAGAGAAGGATGAAGAGGACACAAGAAAGTAGTATTAAAATAAATAATTTGGGGAGAGAGGAAGATGGAGAGGAAAATGGGGTGTATGTGGGGGAAGGACTAAGGAAAGGGAGAGAAAAAGAGAAAGAGAAAGACTCCCAAAGTCTGTACAATATTCTGGTATAATTCTGATAAATCTTTTTTCCCACTACACTGGTATAAATCAGTTTCTGTCACTCCCAGCCAAGGAATCTTATTAACTCATAAATTAAATAAGATAACCTGTAAATTCAAGGTACGTCTAATGTGGGAGATAGAGGACACCCCAGAAAACTAGACCTTGATGCATCTGATTTCAAGATTACAGATTTGATAGCAGAGTAGAACTTGATGCATGTGTTCTCACAAACTTGAGTTTGTGTTCTCCAGCATCCAGGAAACAAAATATACAAGAAATGTCCATTTCTTTGTTTTCTTAAAATTCAACGAACTGACTCTGCACTGAACTGTGGAAAATTCCAATGGAAACATTATTTTTCACCCTTGGTTATGCCCTCCTTCCACCCTGGAATCAACAGAATTTGGAAAGTTTACTGATGTCTAGACAACTGGAAAAAAGACTCTTAATTATCAAGTCATCATTGTTCCAGTCTGCTTTAAACCTTCTTAAAGTTCCCAACTCTCTGCTTCTACACCAGGAGAGCACAGAAATCTTTGCTGAGGCTAAAGTTTGCCTTGCTCTGTAAGATGTAGCCATCCCTTGTTAAGTCACACTGGCTTCATAGAAAAGGGAAAATCTTAAAGCAGACTCGCTATTCACTAATCCCAGGGCTTGCCAACCTTTCAGTTTCTCTCCCCCAATTCTCAAAATAATGGCCTCCAAGACAGTGACATGCATAGTGCTTTTTAGTGAGTTTCAGCTTTTTCTGACGGACCATGAAAATAAGTGGCTTCTTTCCAGGAATTTCAGCTTTTGTCCATGCAAAACCTTCCCAGACAAAGATTTTTTTGCCTGTACCACATAAAATTTCCCATTTAAATATTTTTAAGTGTATAGTTGTGTGGAAATAAATACATTCACATTGTTGTGAGCCCCAAAGATTTAATGAGTGATCTGGTTGAAATGTGAAAGGGCAGAATATAGGAATAAATAAATACTGTGTTTAAAACAATTGTCTCTCCTATGTTTGTTGAACAATGGGGGCAAGTTCAACTGGGGACTCATAATTGGTGATTCTGAGAAGCTAAGAGGTATCATTAAGGTACTAGATACTAATATGCAAGAGGATAAGGAGGAGAAAAATGTGACTGTAGGGAACAATGAAGATGAACTTCATCTGTCTCACAGTACTCACAGTACCCTGTAATGTACTTGGGGTGGAAGTAAAACAAGGACTTCTTCACTCTGCTTATGCTAGGATCAGAACAGGTTTCTGAATTTTGTTGGCAATGAATAACTTTGAGAGAGATCTCAAGTTGAAAGTTTAATTTTATGAATGATGATAATGGCTTTGAATAGCTAAGGAACCTGTCACTAAGGGATGCAGTGTACAAAAGAGTATTAGAAATCTTAGAACTTGGGCCTCCCTGGTGGCGCAGGAGGTTGAGCGTCGCACTGTGAAGCTGTCTGCAGCCTCTGCAGCGCGGGTTCCATCCCAGCAGGCCAGCGAGAATCCCACATGGCACAGCAGACCTCTCTGTCTCGCCTGCTGCTCCCCTCAGCAGTGTATTTCGTCAGTCGGCCTGTTCAGTTCCTCTCTCTGTCTCCGGTAAATCCTCTCACTCTCCCATGCCTCTGGCCTGTACCTTGGTTCCTGTATAAAAATAAATAAATCTTTAAAAATAAATAAATCTTTAAAAAAAATAAAGAAATCTTAGAATCATTAAGAATTTCAGAAGCTGGGCCTCCCCGGTGGCGCAGTTGTTGAGCGCTGGGTTACGAAGCTGCCCGCGGCCTGTGCAGCGTCTGTTCGATCCCGGCTGCTCCCCGGCCACCAGAGGAGGGTCCCGCATGGCACGCAGACCTCTCCTGCCGCCCGCTGCTCCCCTCAGCAGTGTACTTCGGTCCTTCTGCCTGCTCTGCTCCCTGCTCTGCTCCCTGCTCTGGCTCTGGTGAATTCTCTCACCCTCCTGCGCTTCTGACTGTACCCAGTGCATGTATAAACAAAACAAACAAACAAGCAAATAAATAAAATAAATAAATAAAACATGCCTCTATTAAAAAAATAAAGAAAGAAAGAAAGAAAAATAAATAAAGAAAAAAAATAAATAAAGAATTTCAGAAGCTGTAGGAGAGGTGAAAAACCAGACCAAAGAGTGGCAGCACCCCGAGGCAATGCAAGATCCTGGCAATTTGAACTGCTCTTGCATATTCCAGCCGCAAATTTCATGATAGCTGGTTGGTCTCTCTACCTCTTTTCAGCCTTGGGCTCCACTGCCTTCCTACTCATGAGAAAGGTGCCCCTACTTTGCAGCAGTCTCCTGGCGCAACTTTTTGACTGCAAAGAAGTAGAGATCCACTGTGATGTGAAAGAACCACAGATTCATCATCAGTGTACAAGCAACATCTTCATGTTTAGTGGTCAGTGCACTTCTTTTCTTCTCATGAACCTGCTTTACATCACACTGCAGAGGGTCGCAGATGACAGCCAGCCCCCTCTGTATATCAGTGCTGAGTCCATTAAGTACTTCAAGGATTGATGAAGAGCTGCAGTGGGGATTAGAGGAGTACTAGGATTGTGGGGGTTTTTTGGCCCATTATTTGCTCCAATCTACACTGACCTCTCCCTCAATGACAACCGCAAAGGGCTAAATTTTGGGATGGTGGACCTTGGGCGCTGCTCTGAGAGTACATGGTACAAAGTGTATCCTCCTCATCAACAACTCCCTACCCTGATCCTATTCTAAGATGGGAAATAATTTAGGACAAGAAAGGGTGTGCAGTCTTTTGAACCTTCTGAGAGTATGTTCTGAGAATTCAACTAGAATAGGCTGTCCCAAAAGGCCATGAAGTTATCAAAGGTTGGTGATAATATCCTTGAGGAGGAGTCTGTGACTCCATTCACACTGCAGTGCCATACTTAAGGTTGGGTATATTTTAATTCTGATAAATTGAATGAAGCACTGAACTAAAGGAGTCATGGTTCGACCCACGAGGAGGAGCCTGTGACTCCATTCACAATGCAGTGCCATACTTAAGGTTGGGTATATTTTAATTCTGATAAATTGAATGAAGCACTGAACTAAAGGAGTCATGGTTCGACCCACGCCACAGCACAGGCCTGTATTTTAAGTTTTCTATTCTTGGATGTTGAGTCCTTTTATTTGTTAATTTTTAAAGATTTATTTATTTATGCATCCAAGAACTGGGGTACAGGCCAGAGGTGCGGGGGGGTGAGAGGATTCACCAGAGACAGAGTGGGGAGCAGAGCAGGCAGATCTACTGAAATACACTGCTGAGGGGAGCAGCAGGTGAGACAGGAGAGGTCTGCTGCCCCTTGTGGGTAGCTCCCTGGCCGGCCGGGAATTGAACCCGTGCTGCAACAGCCTCACAGCGCGGAGCTCAACCCGCTGAGCCACAGGGGAGGCCCTATTGAGCCCTTCTAGTTGCAGAATATAGGTGGTTGGTGGGATCGGGAGAGATTTTCGTCAACTAGATATATAGATAGACAGACAGACAGACAGACATGGTGTTGGGTTCTGCAGTTTAGCACCTAAAGTCCAAATTACATCTGCAGCACAGCACTACCTTCACCTAAGGAGATAGAATTATAGGAGAAAAAGATAACACCCAAGTCCTTAGCAGGCAAAGCCACCACTCAGCCTGCGCCCGAAGCCGCGAACTACAATTCCCACAAGCCCTTGCGACCCCCGACGCTCAGCGAAGCAGCTGAGCGGCGGAATGAAGCGGGGTGGGGGGGGGCGGATTACAGCGGGCGCGCTCGTGGTGCGTCATCAACGTGCGACTCCACGCTACAAAACGGGTTTGGGCTACAAAAGTATGGCAGCTGCTGAGGCGGCCGAGCTGTCGTCATCTTTGAAAACAGACCCAGTCCCGGTCCCCGACACTGCAAGAACGGCCGCAGCCACGGCCGCCAGCTCCTCGGCGACGGCCGCAGCCGCAGCGGCGGCGGCCAGGGCGGGGCCCGAAGCCGGGGTCTCCAAGGCCGCTTTGGCTACTAAGCTGCTGTCTCTGAGCGGCGTGTTCGCCGTGCACAAGCCCAAGGGGCCCACCTCAGCCGAGCTGCTGAACCGGCTGAAGGAGAAGCTGCTGGCAGGTACGGCAGCCCGGGTGGGGACAGGCCGAGCGGTCGCCGCGAGAGCGGAGCCGTCGAGAGCGCCCCGGGGAAGGGAGAAGGCGCCCCTGAATTAGCTCTGGACGGACCTCTAGGGCATCTCCACCCGGACTTGCCCCGACGTGCACGCCTAGAGCCTGGTTGGCAGTTGTTCTCAAGGGTAAACAAACCAAACAAACCAAACCCTACACAAACACAAATAAACGCCTGCCTGCTCTTGGCATACAGACCGATTTTTCTGTGCTCATCCCTCAGGAGCCTTGTTTGGTTCATGTGGATGAACCCCCATCCCAAGGAAGCGTTAGCTCTGCACCCTCCAAGCTGCCTTCTTGAGAATCTGTTGGAAATGCAGATAGTGCTTCGTTAAGAAAGACATAATGCAGCGATATTCACATGGTGGATGTAAACAGCAAAGCCCCTCTTACAGGAGCAGAGTCATACTCCCTGCCCGCACGGAGATTGTGATTCTGAAGGTGTGGGGCATTTTTAGGAAATTACTTTTTTAAACTGAGAGATACTCTTTTTTTTTTTCTTTAAAGATTGATTTAGTTATGCATACAAGAGCTGGGGTACAGGCCAGAGGTGCAGGGGGTGAGAGGATTCACCAGAGACAGAGTGGGGAACAGAACAGGCAGATTGACTGAAATACACTGCTGAGGGGAGCAGTGGGCAAGACAGGAGAGGTCTACTGCGCCATGTGGATATCTCCCTGGCTGGGGATTGAACTTGTGCTGCAGTGGCCTCGGACAGCTTCACAGGTTGCGTCTCAAACCCTTGCGCCACCAGGGAGGCCCCAGACTGAGAGATACTCTTAACTGAGGTGGTGGTATAGTCGTTTCTGCATCCTTTGGTGGTAACACTAGCTAGATGTTCAAGATCCCCTAGAGTTTGGCTCTCAACTTTCCATTAAACCAGCACAGGAACTTTCTTACATGTTTATTGTCCCCTTGTAAACTTGACCCTTTTTTTAAAGTGTAAAGACAAATTATTGGATAGGAGCTTATTACCGTGTGCACAATACAGATTCAATGTTTAATAGGTACTCTCTTTCTAATGTTTTATTGCAGTGTCTGTCTACTCAGTTGTTACAATTTATTTGTACTTTGTTACTTGTAAGGATGTGTCACATAGGGGATGTGTCACATAGGGGAAGGAAGGCATTCCATCAAGGGCAAACTTTGTGGTGTCCTCACAGTGTTCTTTCGTACAAATTGCTGCTTTTGTTTGGCCTGGTTTATTAGCTAAGCTAGGGCCTTTTCTGACCCAGGATGGAAAGGTGACCATTCTTCAGAAAGGTTTCTGGGAAGATCACAGCAATATCCTGGCCTTATGGTGACTCTGCTTCCAAGGACTGAAGTTTAAAACTGATTTGAAGGCCTTTGCTGGACCATCTTCAGGAAGCCACTCAGATGTTGACATTCTTACTACTTTCTGTTTCTGTCTTGCTTGCACTGTGCTGTACTATACTTAGGTGAGCTAGAGCAGGGCTTCCCAGATGCCATTCTGAAGGAATTGCCTGGGAATGCTCATTTTTAAATTGTATTGTTTACTATCGAGATAACCTTGGTTTACCGCACTGTATATATGATTTAGGGATCTAGGATCTAGATTCACAATTCTTCAGACATGTTACCTCACCACACCTCCCACCAAAGGACCCATAACCCTCCCCCACAGCCTATTGCACTCCCTCCCTCTTGGCTTCCCACTCTCCCCAAACTCTGATAGCTTCCATTGAGATTTCAAGGGTTTGTTTTGGTTCAATTTTGTCTGTTCTTTTGTTTCTTTATACTCCACATATAAATGAAATTATCTGGTGTTTGTCTTTCTTCTGATTTATTTCCACTTAGTATAATCCCTTCCAGTTTCTGAGAAGGTTCTTTAAGATACAGATTCCAAAGCACACTCTAAAGCCAACCAGGAGGACAGTCATGATTTTGGCCACAGTCAGTGGTTGTGTCGTCTATTAACGGTCACTTGATCTTTAGGAATATGAGCTAGGCTGGGTTGCATCGTCTTTTTTTTTTTGATTTCCAAGCTAAACACTTTGGACGTTAAGAGACAGCCTCCAGAGTTGCTTCCAACTTTTTGCTGAGGTTAGTTTTTCTTTGCTAGGAAATTGGGAATTTTGATTTGGAGAGGAGGGCAAGGAATATAGGTGGTTGAAAACTTCAGGTTCTTAGAAGTAACCCTGTGTGAGATGTACTCCTCACGTAGGAGAGCCGGGACGTCCCTAAAGAACACCAGGAAAAGAAAAGATTTAGAAGTGAAATCCATGACTTTAAAAACCAGGCGCTTATATTAAAAGCTAAGTTCATCACTCTCAACCTAAAAACCCACTACTACCAGGAATTTACTATATCTCTGTGGGTTAGCCTGAATAGTTAACCACTTAAAATTTTTGTGTGTGTGTGTGTGTGGGACCCTCGCCGGCGGCCGGGGAACGAACTGGCACTGCAGAGGCTGCGGGCAGCATTGCAGCCCAGCGCTCAACCGCTGTGCCACCAGGGGAGGCCCCCACTTAAACATTTTTTTAAATATATATTTAAAAATTTTATTTTATACATTTTTAACATAATTTTTCCTTTTTGCTCAATGTGTGCATTTTCATCTTGGTTATAGTCCCCATACAATTCCCACCCTCCTTGTTTTGATGCTACCTCCTCCCTCCCTTCCCTGGTTTATAGTTGCCTGTTGATTTTGATTTTTACTTTATTAGAATTAGGTTTTTTCCTGGCCCCTTATTTAGGTTTTCTAAATTCCTGCTATGTGTGAGACTATCCGGTATTTTTCTGTCTGGCTTATTTTGCTGAGCATGATCCCTTCCAGCTCCATCCATGTTGCTGCAAATTGCATGAGTTTACCTTTTTGATTGCTGAGTAATATTCCATGGTGTATATGTACCACATCTTCTTGACCCAGTTATCTATTTTTGGGCATTTGGGTTGTCTCCATAGCCTAACTATTGTAAACAGTGCTGCTATAAACATAGGGGTGCTGGTGTCTTTTTGACAAAACTACAATGAGATACCTAATCTTATACCAGTGAGAATGGCACATATTAAAAAAACTAGCAACAACAAATGTTGGCGAGGTTGTGGAGAAAAAGGAACTCTCCTGCACTGCTGGTGGGAGTGCAAACTGGTCCAGCCACTATGGAAAGCTGTGTGGTGATTCCTCAGTCTACTAAAGATAGAGCTTCCATATGATCCAGCAATTCCACTCCTAGGTATTTACCCAAAGAACAAAGAAACATTAATTTTTTTTATTATTATTGAAGAAGCACTGATTTATAACATAGATTTCAGGTGTACATTAAAATTTTTTTTCCTTAGAAAATGAATACTATTATCTAGAATGACTAACTTCGGAATACTATTTCTTTGTGATTTAGCATGTGTCTATAAATTTTAAAATCTGTTTTTTTATAGTAATATCATAATATTACTAATGTTTATACCAAGTATTCCATATGCCTCTCCTGATATTTATGAGATCTAACTTCATTTGTCTTGGTAATTTTCATTTTCTATTCCATTTACTAGAAGCTGGAATGCCTTCTCCAGAATGGACCAAGAGGAAAAAGCAGACTTTGAAAATTGGGCATGGAGGGACTCTAGACAGTGCAGCTCGAGGAGTTTTGGGTAAGAGATATGAATAAAAGTTTAATGTAACTGTCAATATCAGAAAGAAATATTGATTGAAAACAGATAAGATTGATTCAAGTCATGTGGTATTTTCAGTCTATGGAATTTTTTAGATCTATTGCATTTATAGGTCTAAAACAGCCACTTTTACGTGGTTCATTGGAGAACGAATTGTATTTACAGAACAGGGTTAATATAGCAGGCTAGAAATTGCTGTCTTCAGAAGGGCCTCTTGCAAATCCTGACCATTGGCTGGCGTCTGGGAAGTAGGTTTTGGGTGATATCCCTACCTTTCCCTATCTGATAAGGGTGGCATGCTGTGCTTTGACTGTTTGTACTGAGCACTGCCTTCATAGCAGGAGCTGGAGCTTTATTCTACCACATAGGCAGAGGCAGTCTGGGTGACCGTCCTTCTCATCTCCTCCAGTAAAAACTTTGGGTGCTGAGTTGCTAATGGTCTTTTCCAAGCAGGAGCGTGGCATACATTACTGCTTTTTTCATTATTGGAGAATCCTTAAGTGTACGGTCATACACACCCCAGCCTGCCCCCGCATCGTGGGCAAGAGAGAGCATCAGGAAGCCTGAGCATGGATTTCTTTACTGCCTTTTTCCCTGATGACCAGTTGTGCAACATTACAATGTCACAGTAGTAAATCTTCGCCATGTATGAATCTTCCAATGTGGGATGGACTTGGGGACTCTGAACAAGGTGAAATGGCTCTTTTTTCTGCCAATATAGAATTTAATCTCTGAGAACAGCTCTCTTGAGAAGGTAAACCTAACAGTTCCTGAGAGGAAGTCACTCTCTTTTGGAGACATAGTATTCAGTGTTTTATTGCTTGTGGAGAAAAATTGATAGAATTGATTGAGGGGAGAAAAATCACTTTTTCTCCTCCTCCCCCTTTTTTCTGCATCTGGTAGAGGTTCTGCAGTTTGTCTTTATAGACTGCGAAAGTGTGTACCTAGTAAAAACTAGGGTATATCTTACAATTTTTTTCTGTAACTGTCACAAAATTATTTGTTGGGCTTGCACCCAAATCCACCTTCCCCTCATTTTAGAAAAAAACTTTTATGGAACAATACTTACCTTTTTACATGTCTGCTGTTTTCATTCTGTTTCAATTTTTTAAAATGTTCATCATAATCAACTAAATTGATTTCATGACACACTAATGGGTTGTGCTTATGGTTTGTAAATTACTGTGCTACAGTATCCAATCCATTTTATTAAAGCTAAAATTAAACACAAACAGCAAATCTGATCTAAGCTCTCCAAAGGAAATGAGTACTTATTTAGAAGAAAAGGATAAAATTGGTGAGTTATATTTTTCAAGAAAATTAGAAACAATGCATGATTGTACTTTTTTTAAATTATGGAAGTTGAGGTTAAATTAGGGAAAAAAAGGCAAGTTAATGTTCCTCCACTAGGATACTTGAATAGGCAAATTCTGATAAAGTTCCTGTTTCTTACCATATGAATGATAACCGTTTTTTTTGAGTACCTACTGTATGCGAGGTCCTTGGCTCATTCATAAATTATGTTTTAATCCTCATTGTAACCTATAAGATAGCTATTATTAACCCTATTTTACAGAAGAAGAAATAAAGACCCAGACAGATAGAGTAACATGTGCCTTATGATAGTGAGTGGCACAGTCAGGATTTGAACCCAGAACAGATCTGCTTAATTCCAAAGCCTCTGCCCCAAAATGGAATGGCAAATACCTGGCAATCCTGCCATTGTTTCCTCCTCCTCAGACTGATCACAGGAATTACTAAGCAGTGCTCCTTGCCGTTGGCCCTGAAGTGGCTTCATGATTCTTACCAGTTCAGCACTGCTTTAGTTGAAGCCTGTTTGTCATAACTATTCTGTTGTTTTTCAAGGCATGGTACTATAAATATAAGAAAAGAGAGGATAAGGTCTGCTGCTTGTATATAAATATACCATTTATATTAATCTCTTGTTGTTGTTGTTACTCATTGTTTTGCAGAAAGTAGTGATAGTCAAAGCAATGAGTAAAATAAGTTTATTTTTTATCCTAAACATAAGGGATCTTGTTCAAGCTTCCATGTTAGTATTATGAAGGGGAGACATTTAGCTAAGATTTGTGAGTGGAAGAAATTGTATTGGAAATAATTTTCCATTGGAGGTTTAAGTTATATTTTCCCACACAAGGAATTTATAATATGTTCATATGTAAAACTTATTAATTTTTCTTATACAGATGAGGAATAAAGCTTCCAATAAAGAATAAGGTTTTTTTTTTTTTTTTCTTTTTTTTTTTTTTTTTTTTTAAAGATTTATTTATTTGTTTATTTATACAAGCACTGGGTACAGTCAGAAACATGGGAGGGTGAGAGAATTCACCAGAGCCAGAGCAGGGAGCAGAGCAGGCAGAAGGACCGAAGCACACTGCTGGGGGAGCAGCGGGCGGCAGGAGAGGTCTGCGCGCCATGTGGGACCCTCCTCCAGTGGCCGGGGAGCAGCCGGGGATCGAACCGGCACTGCAGAGGCTGCGGGCAGCTTCGCAACCCAGCGCTCAACCACTGCGCCACCGGGGAGGCCCTTCTTTCTTTTTTAAAGTAGGCAGTAAGTCACAGAATAAGAGATAGTTGGAGTCTAGGTTAGCAGTTCTGGAGACTGTTAAGAGAAACTGATGTTTGTTGTTTGGTAAAAAAATTACCAGGCTCTGATCATATGTGAGTTTAAATACTGCCTGCTTTATTTACTAACTACACACACCTTGGGTAAATTCCCAAACTTCTTTGAATTTCAGTTTCTCTCTTAAAGGGGGGTAATATCTACTATAATTCTCTGGAGAGTTATTGAAATATCTGTAGATTGTGCCCTGTGAATTACTTGATAAACCTTTTTTTTTTTTTTTTTAAACAAAGCTGAATCTGTGTGAAAAGATATGCCCTTAATTTCAGCATTTTAGACTCTCTTTTCTGGCTTTTTTCCTTTCTAATATTAATGGGTACTGATTTGAGAATTTTAGCTGACAATCTTGATGTAATCGGAAATTCAGGTTTATAATTCTGTTAACCTTAACCTATATAATATATAAAATGTATATATTTCTATACAGTGGGCTTACAGAATTCTCAAAAATCCCATGTTAGGCAGAATAATGTCCCCTTGAAAATGTTTACCTGTGAATATGTTAGGCTACATCACAAGGGGGAATGCAGTTTGCACGTGGAATTAATGTTGTCAATTAGCTGCATTTAAGTAGATTATCCTGGAACATCCATGTGGACCCAGAGTGATCACAAAGGTCTTTAAAAGTGGAATTAGTGGCAGAAGAGAGTCAGAGAAGAGGTGGCAATGGAAGCAAGGGTTAGAGTGATGGAATTGTTGGCTTGAATAAGAAAGGAGGCCATGAGCCTTCTCAGGAGCTAAAGGGGATTATACTAAGCAAAATAAATCAGGAGAAAGATAAACACTAGGTAATTTCACTCATATGTAGAGTATGAAGGAATGTGAGTGGCCTCTAGAAGCAGGAAAGGCAAGGAAACTCCCCTTTGTCTGGAGATTCTCCCAAGCACATCCAGAAAAGAATGAGCCATATTGACACCTTGAATTTTAGCCTATTGAAACCCATCTCAGACTTCTAACCTCCATAAGTGTAAGATAATAGGTTTATGTTGTTTTAAATCACTGAGTTGATAATTTGTTATGATTAATTTAGTATAACTCACATAAACTGGAAATTTTCTATATACCATTTTAAAATTATTTTTTAACTTTAGAGACTATAAAGTTATAGTGGAAAACTTTAGAAAATGCATAAAAAGCAAAGGTCAAAATAAAAATTACCTCTTTCTATCCTCCAGCAATAATTATTGTTAACATATATGCTAAACTTTTAAGCTGAGCTGTTTTATTGTGTGTGTTTAAATAAGTGTATATATTTAAAGTGTTGAAATCATATCAGGTGTTTTCGCCAACCACAATAGTATGAAACTTGAAATCAGTAATAGGAGAAAGCTGGAAAATTCACAAATACATGGAAATTAAACCACATACTTCTGAACAGCCAATTGGTCAAAGAAGAAATTAAAAAAAAATGTTGAGACAAGTGAAAATGGAAATGCAACATAACAAAACTTATAGGATGTAGCAAAAACAATTCTAAGAGGGAAGTAATTTTTAATGGCAGCATGAATGTTGGATAAAATATAATTTATTTAAACATTTGCCTATTTGAGGTGATTGATATTATCAGAGAACATGAGTAGAACTGAACATCTTTTTAAAAATTTCTTAGATACATTTGATGTGTAATGTGTGGATTTAAGGTGTGCAGCATATTTGATATATTTATATATTGTAATATGGTTGCCTTTGTAGCAATAGTTACCACATTAAATACTATACAGTATTTTACCCATATTCATTATACTGCAAATGATAATGATCTCTGAGGCTTATTTACTACTCAATACAAACTTGTACCCTTAAGCACCATCAAGCTTATCTCCCATTCCTATGTCCTGGTAACCACCATTTTGTTCTTTTTTTTTAAGAGCAGGTTTGACTCTTCTAGATTCTACATATAAGCGATGTGTTACTTATATTTGAGAAACATCTTTATGAATAAAACTTTACTTTTTTTCGATTATTTTGATCCCTAGATATGGAGAGAGACAGGTGTTTTAAGATGATTGTAAGGAAGGTCTAGAATGAGATAAATGGCTGTAGAAACTTCCAACTGCAAAAAGCTTTGGAATTACATGTATAATATTCTGCCTGTCCTAAAGTGGTTCTCATCATAAATAAATTCTGTCTTTATGATTTGAGAGTAGAATACTTTATGATTTGGATTGGTTTGGAGACGTGGGGTTTTTTCTAACAGAGAAAATATTTGAGCACAGAGCATTTGGGAGATTAAGGGAGAATAGTAATTTTGAGACAGTACTTGAAAAAGCCTGTTATTTATTCATCCTAATTCTTCACACTTTTCCACACTGCACTTATACTTTTCTTTCATATAAACTGCTCTTCTCTGTGTTTGTTAATTGTAGAAATCCAACTGACCTTTCCAGATTGTTGGCTGAAATCTTCTCTCCTAATGTGAAGCCTGTCCACTGCTCTTTTATATTGCTAGTGTAAAACGTCATTCTAGTCTTAGTTTTGTTAATTCACTAAGGACTAAAACCAGGTCTTATTAATTTTTACATCTATATAATTAGTACTGAATAAAGTTTTGAATGATTGAATGGGGAAAAGTATAAAAATTCTGCCCCATAAACTGTCCTTTGAATGAAAAGTTGCAGGTTGACTGGGTCTCAACTCCAGGTGATTTTTCTGTACAGTCTTCCTAAAATTCTGCTTTCTGAAAATCACCTAACTTCATTGGGCTTTGATATTCTTGGGTGCAAAATGAGAGGGTTCAGCCAGGAAACTGAAAGATGATTTTTTGTTTAAAATCTGTTATTTTGGATCATGTAACTAGCAGAGAAATCATATCAATTCAACATATCGATCATGATAAAATCATATCTGTCAGTCTGCTTTTAAGACAGCATGTGCTCTGGTTGATAAACCCATAGTGCTCGTATTACGTTTGAGAATGTGTTTATTCCTTTTTGTATATGCTTCTCTCTTTAAATCATGTACATTCTTTTTTTTTTTTTTTTTTTTTTTTTGTGGGACCCTTGCCGGCAGCCGGGGAACGAACTGGTGCTGCAGAGGCTGCGGGCAGCCTCGCAGCCCAGCACTCAACCGCAGTGCCACCAGGGGAGGCCCAAATCCTGTACATTCTTTAGGACTAACACAAATTGTTTGAAATGTTTGAATGAAGCTTTCTCTGACTTCTTTAGCCATTTAGCATGCTCCCTCCTGTGATCTCCTACAACAGTTATTCTCTGTGTTCATTTTGACAATCACATATTGCCATCATATTGTTTATTCACACATTAATTTAGACAACCTTTTTTGAGCACTTGTCTGTAGACTGTTGTCTCCATGAGATAATATGCCCATTCAAAGTCAGGAAATGTGTTGTCCCATTAAAAGTATTCTCGGCAGCTTCTTGTGCATAGAAGTTGCTCTCAAAAAACACTGATTGGGGATGGATTTGATTGGAGTAACATTGCCCTGAATATTTGCTGTTGTTATTATACAAAGTTTTTGCCTCTGCAGCAGGAGCTGCCATTTGAAGAATTCTGTACTCTGCAGAGATTTTTTTTTACCTTATTCCTTGAACTATGAACTAATAATGACTATTTAATGGTGAATGATCTAAATGAATGAGTGTCATATTTTAGAGAGGGCTTGGGTAGACTTCATGAAGGTGTCAGGATTTGAGCTGGGTTTCAAAGAGTGGACTTGAAATACTTTACTTGGGAGTTGATACTGTAGACAGGGGGATCCTGTTGAAGATTGTTGGTTGTCTGTGTAGTGTGCCACACAGGTTTTCAGAAATGGTTATGCATTGATATGAATTGAATAAAGAAGGGACAGGATGCAGAGAGCAAAGTTTGCAGTGGTTTGGGCTAGCAGGTGGGTGGCAATGAAAAGCCTGGTGGCAGGAGATGATGATAACGGAAGGGGGTCTGTTGTTAAGACAGTCTGGTTTGAATTTTAACTCTACCATATACTTCATTTTGAGATGTCAGCAGAATTCATAGTCTCTCATTGCTTTAGTTTCTTATAATAAGAGTAATTGTGTTACCTTTTAGGGTTGATATAAGGATTAAATGAGCTAATGCATAAAGACATTCACAGTGGAGCTTTATATATAATAAACTCAATGAATGACATTTACTGTAGATGTTGATTATAATTCTTTCAGCTTGCCAGTCATTTGTCCTTGTTTATTCTAAGTTGTGGTTATGTTGTGTTTTTATACAAAATTGAATTTATTGATGAGAAATACTTTAATTCTTACAAAAATTTGCCTACTAGTAAGTGATGAAATGATTATCTCCTCTCATCCTGACCTGGTGAATTGTGTCATCATGAGGATAAAAAATGTTTGAAATTGAAGAGGCAGCATGTATAGAATTCTATCAACATCTTTTTATGAAGCTGCTAGTGTTCTTCCAACCAGCACTATACACACACACACACACACACACACGTACGTGGTATATGTTAACATACATTCTCCAGGCTCTTATTTTACCCTCTTCTGTTTTTCTTGTGTTAGGTTGACTTGTTATGAATGTTTTCTTGATTGTCTACTGCTGAAAGATTACTTTAAATGGTTCATTAGCTATGTTGATGGCATCTGCTTTGTTTGATAATAAACTTTGTCAAAATACTTTATCATATCATGGTTAATTGTTTCATGTATTTTTCAGTGATGCCTATGTAAACTTCCAATGTGTCCTTTGAGATTTTTCTAACACTTTTCATTCTTCAGTTGTCTGGATTGAGGTTTCTCCATGTTTATGTTTGACACTTTGAGAAAGAAAGAAAAAGTCACCTATTCCTTCTTTGGAATTTCTTAAGTTGCATGACAAGTTCAACTGATTGGAGTAGGAGCCTTTAATTAAGTTACATAGATGCTTTTTCTAACTTTGCTTTACATTTGCCAGGAAATTGTGACCAAAATATGTTGATATTTTAAGACTTAGTTTTTTGACTAGAATGTCATAATATTTCTTTCTTTGATTTGTAGTGGTTGGAATTGGACGGGGAACAAAAATGTTGACCAGTATGTTGTCAGGGTCCAAGGTAAGAAAACTGTAAAAGTTCTGTTTCTTTCTTCTGGTATGCTTTACTTAATGACCTATATATTAGATTTTATCAGTTGAAAAATAAGCTGTGCAAATTTCATGAATGCATGTTAATCCTGTATATAATTTACAGTGTTTATAATCATAAACAGATTCAAAATAGTGAGACTATCAATTGGAAATTCTTAATTGAAACCAAGTTTGACTTACAAGAGCCAAAACTGTACTGCCCATAATTTTTTAGTTTTTTAATGTAATCATAGTTTTTAGGTTAAAAGGGAAGTTATAGATCATAAATTCTACCACAGATTATTTTCAGCCTCAGAATTTTTATAGAAACATTGTCATTTTGTAAACCATTCACTTTTTAGCAAAAGACACGCTTCGTTCAATGGTTATTAAGTGTTTACTAAAGAAAAGAGTGAGGCTTCCTTAAGTTACATCATTGATCTGTAGGAGTTGCCTTGATGAGATCCAGAAGCACTTGGTAAAGAGAGAGGAGAGTTATGCAGAGGCTGAAGAGGCTGTAAGCCAGGGTATGGCTTTAGGTGTGCAGCGAGTAGCCCTCATGTGCAGGGACCACTGCAACAGCAGTCAACTGTCAAAACAGTTCACCTTTCAGTTTTAGGAAAAATGATTTGACCCCTCCATGATCTCTTCCAACTCTAAGAGAGATAATAAAGTCTATATTTTAATTAGTAACCAGGTGCGGGTCATCATAACTGGGGTTCGGGCCAGTGAACATGCCTATGGGAGAAAGATTAATTTGCTGTTAAATGAAAGAGAATTTCAGCAACTTTCTGATCAAAACATATTCTTTGTTTTCAAACCCTTGCTTGAAGTGGTATATAAATAGTTGGTAAAGTGATTTTGTCTAAATTTTTTTCTTAAAAAATTTTAGTCAGAGACCATTTAAAATTTTTCCCAGTTGATTGCAAACTGATGACTTATAAAATATAGTTCCAGTGATATGGTAACATCAAGTTGCTAGGTTAGTTTCTGAACCCCCTTATTTTTGGCACTTATGTTTTCATGGATAGTGGCCCGTAGACTGCATTTTGAGTGGGAGTAGTCTAAATAAGCTTTTCTTTAAAATAAAAAGTCCCAAAGTGCTTATTGCCTTTGACATTCCAGTCTCGTTATCAACTGGCATTGAAAACCTGTGTCTTTTAGTTGGCGATGACATTACTGTCTTAGCTAAATTGAAAATTCTCAACATGTCTTTCTCTGCAATCTTCAAATTACTGTTGAAAGTCCCAGGATATAAAAATTGTATTAGATTGGAAGAGTTTGTTTTATAGTGAATTTGTACAAGGTATTTAAATACTGACACACAGAGTTTATAATCTGTTTCTCATATGGATCTCTGCCTGTTGTTTAATATTTGTTTCTTAACTTTAAAACATAACAATGGTTACTTTGACACAGGATTATGGATGATTTTCATGTTCATCTTACACATTACTTGATATTTCCCAAGACCTTTACAATGAATAAGATACCTTTACAGTAGTAACCAAAAAGATATATTTACATTAGAGACTGGGTTTTCTTCCCCACGATAAAATATGTTGAATCATTGTAATATTCATTATCCACATCTCCCCAACAAAATCACAAATATACACAACACACTGTGTGTTATTGAAATACTTGATGTGTAAATTCCAGGCATATTTGCAAAAGTATGATGACTAGAAATGTCAATACATCATTGATTCTTTATTTGTCACAAACCATTTTGGTATTCATCTAGGAAAGCTGAATGTCATACAGTGAAATCACTGATCCTCGGATAACTATAACTTAAATAGAAAATCTCAGGTGCCTTTTATCATAGAAGCCTAGTTCTTGAGTGCTTCGCATTTCAAAAATAGGCATTGTTGTCTTGCTAGTTATTTGTATTTTTATACTTTTAACTTTAAAGTTAGTATTTGCTGAAAAAATTAAATCACTGTTTACTACTAAGTATATATTTTTTTAAAATCACAAGTAGTTAATAAGTATTAGGATTTTTAAAAATAGATTTTGTTTTTAGCACTGGAAATAATCTTAGAGACCTCTTTTTTTGGAACAAGACCCATAGTAAGAATATCATTTTAGTTTTTTTAAAATAACTGAAAGACTTTCTAACAGCTGTATGAAACAAGACCATCAACCAATGCCTTCAAAATTACAAAGGAAAACAATTTCCAACCTAGTAGTCTAAAAAAAAAAAAAAGAATATCATTTTATATCATTTTTACATGTGTATACAAGTACATGTATAAAAAACAAAAATTTCATCAAGCAACTGTAATGTTATGTACAATGTTCTCTTAATATTTTTCCTTATTTCATTAAAATAAAAATTAGTAACTGCAGCCTTCTAATTGGGCACAAATCTAATATTTGCTCTTGTCTCTACTGTCATAGATGATTTTTTATTTGTGTCACAGTACTGCTAGGAAAACTAGACTTGTGTATGTATTGGGTGGAGTTGCCTCAGAGTAGAAATATTTAGTTTTAGGAACGCAGACATTCAGTAGCTCTATCACAAAGTGCGCTTACCCCGGCATCAGTCCTAGTTAGAGACTTTGTTAATTGAACATGGCTTAACACCCTTTCCTGCTCAAGCAAGAAACATCCTTAGAATTCTTTTAACATGATGCCATTCGTACAACCGCTATCGATTAATGGGTAAAGTGCTGACCTTTTAAAAGTAAAATCTTCAGTCCTCAGATTATTTCATTTTCATTCTGTGAACAACAGAGAGTATCTAGACCACCTAACTCCTTTCTTCTATTCCTTGTCTTTCAGATTAGAGTAAGATTTAAGAGTCCTTATGTTTGTTCTCCAGTAACTTGCTCTCCTGTCTTAATAGGAAGCGTTGCTTTACCAGTGATCATGTTTCTCAAGTCATCTTATTTCAGAGTATGTTTTTTGGGGGATTATATGTGTAATGTATATTTAAAACATCTAGATTTTATGTATAATGCTTTATATATAGAAGTTGCTCAATAAATACTAGCATTACTGTTTCCAAGTTTTTCACCTATACCCAGATTTCTCTAAGATTTCAGAACTGTTGGATCTTTCTAACTATGTAGATACATGACATTTTTTCAGTTAAGTTTTGTTGGAAATTTTTAATGCAGTTAATTTAATTTCTCATTTCGGTTTGTGATTTCTGGTGACCTAGGCAAAACATAACACTCATCAGAAGGAGGAAGCATGCCATTTCTTTCAGGGAGAGACAGAGTTTCTCTGTGCATAAAGCTAAAAAGAAATTTCTTACAGCAAAGGATATTAAATTTTACAAGTGTAGAAGTGGAGCTACATAAAAATATAACTTAGGTAAAATGATTCTGACCCTCTCTTGGTCTTAAGTTTGGAATGTAGATTATCTAGAAGGAGGCAGTGGATGCATTGTCCCTGTACTACCTTCCCTAAATTACTCTTTCTTTGACCCGATCATTCAGCACACACTGTTTAGCAGATGTCCTTTGAAGTGACAGGCTTTGATGAGGTTTTGGAGTACTGTTTCTATTAGCCCTCTATATTATGCTAGTTAAAGTTAGTTTCTCATCCATTCATGCTTTAGATCCAGATGAGCAGTTGGAAAGGTTGATGTTCTATTATGAAATCACAGTTGGCATATAAAGACAAACTAGCATTTTCCAGATGTAGGGCTAACTCCATGTCTATGTAGAGACAAACCATAGTAGGACCTGTATGCAAAGCCAGTATTTCCTCAGAAAGCACTTTGTATTCCTTCCAGCAATCGAACAAGTGTTATCATTGGGATTTCCAAACCCTTTCACTCTGGATGCTTTCGTGACATATATATTTCTCCCCAAGTATATAGTAGCATTTTCAGATTAACCAGTCACTGTTAACTCTGAAATATGACTTAAAAAATGCTTCTGTGAAAGTTAGCTCTCTAAGATTTGCACATTTCCACACCATTTTCTGCAGAGGCTAGTCCAACATGTACCTTTTCTTTTACACGCTTATCAATATTCATACATTTCAAAAGCACTATGTTGAAAATTTGAAGGACTTATCCTTATGAACTATATAAAGCTATTCCTTTTTAGTGTGGACATTCAAAGCCACATGCTTTTGGTTTGGTAGGGTTTTTTCCCCCCAGAATGTCCTTCCACTTTTTAAATAATATCCATTTGTTAAACTTTGAATCATAAACTCTCGAGATGGAAATGATTATGTTCACTTTCTATAATAAAAACATTGTCCTTTCTCCTGAAGAATACTGAAGCCGATTTGCTTTTAGAGTTGTCTAGTTGATGTCTGTGGGCTTCAGCTTGAAGAAGAGTGAAGTGGAGAGGGGGGTGGTGTTCCTTTCTGTGAGAAACCATGAATCCCAAAAAGCACACAATTCAATGGAAACTTCTTTTAAAATTCTACAGGACCTCCATTTGTCTCATTGTTTAGAACTATATTGTCAGAATACCTTAGGGCATCCCTGGTGATGCAGGAGTTAAGGACACAGGCTATCAAGTTATCACCAGCCATTGCAGCATGAGTTCAATCCCCAGCCAGGTAGCTAACCCACAAGGCACAGTAGACCTCTCCTCTCTTGCCTGCTGCTGCCCTCAGCAGTGTATTTCAGTACATTTGTCTGCTCTGCTCCCCACTCTGCCTCTGGTGGATCCCCTCACCTCCTGCATCTCTGGCCTGCACCCCAGCTCTTGTATGCGTAAATAACTAAATCTTAAAGAAAAAAAAAAACCTTAATAGAATCCACAATTCTTCAATAGTTTGAAGAATAAAATCCTGTCTCTCTGCAGAATTTCGATCCATGAAAAGAGTTACTTTAGACCCACATGATAAAATCATGGGGTTATAATGTATACATTTCTATGTCTTTTTTTCATCTGTCCCATATATGAAGTTCTGTTTTAGTTGGAAGCTTCACAGCCTGTATGGACTTTTCTAAGTAGTTTGTGGATCACTGAATAAAAATCAAAGATAATTATTACTAGATGCCAGGACAAAGAAAAGTGAGACAACAACTGTGATTCTAATCAGCTGCTCACAGTGTAGTCCATTGACTTTTTTAAAAAAAAAAAAGATTTATTTATTTATTTATTTATACAAGCACTGGGTACAGTCAGAAGCGCGGGAGGGTGAGAGAATTCACCAGAGCCAGAGCAGGGAGCAGAACAGGCAGACTGATGATATACTGCTGAAGGGAGCAGCGGGCGGCAGGAGAGGTCTGCGCGCCATGTGGGACCCTCGCCTGGTGGCCGGGAATCGAACCTGCGCTGCAGAGGCTGTGGGCAGCTTTGCAACCCAGCGCTCAACCACTACGCCACCGGGGAGGCCCAAGTCCATTGACTTATAAGGTTTGTTTAGGGTGACTGTTGCAGTCAAAACTACTTTCATAGTTTTGCCATTTTCACTTGCAATCTCACAATTGTACAATGGAGTTTGTTAAAGGCTAACTGAAGAACAGTGATGTAACCAAAGGCTAATGGAACGCACACACTCATTAGTGTTTAAAATTTTTTTTTAATTTTAATTGCTAATATAATAAATTCTTGCACCTACAACCCATATAAAAAAAAATATGCCAGGGTTTTCAGTAACTGTCAAATTGTTATAGGGGTTCTGAAAACACAATGTTTGAGAACTGTTTAGGCAGTGTTTCCCCTAAAAGAAATCTAGCATGTAGACAAGACAAATACCACATAACTGCAGGATTGGGAATGATTGAAATTTGGCAGATACCATCTGGATGTCCAAAACCATGGTGGAATGTAAAGGATTGCACACACAGGAACTTCTCTAGCATGTATATAATTCTGTGACCACCTTTTCACTGAGCTGCTACTGTGCTTCCAACTAGTAAGGAACACAGCGAGGCAAAAGCCAAGCTAACAAGAGTTTGCAATTTGGGGATGATGAGTCAGTACGCAAAATGTGCTTGGCAAACAATGGGATCTACCTCTAGGTAATCATTTGCTGACCAGCATGGCATGAGAGGTCAGTGAAACAAACCACTGGGAGCAGACACTTGTCTGTCATTGCCACAATACTCATTCCCCTTTGTAGGCTTTCTGTGTAGATGCTCTATCATGTTACTCTGTAACCTAGTGGCAGAAGATTCTTTATATTCTTAGTGTCTCTCACAAGCACCTAGGAGAAAGCTTTGTACATTCAGTCTTTAGGAAACATGAATGAATGAATGAATGAACGAACATACAAATGAATGAATATGTGATGTCATTTTAATAAGGGCCTTCACTGTTTATATGTTAGAAACTTGTACTGAGTACCTACTCAGCCATAACCTTGGAGGTAGGTGATTGAGAGTTGGGATGGGCTAATAGGGAAGCTTTGAAAGATGAACCGGGTTGGGCCCCAAGAGAAGAGAGGGTGCTTGCTCAAAGCTAGGGGAGCAGCATGTGTCTCTTGGGACACCAGAGTCCAGAGACTAGAATCAGCTGATGTAGGGTAAATGGTTTTCAGGCTTTTCTGCCCTCCTGCCATTAGGATTGCCCTGCCTGATGGGGGTAACTGCATTTGTTACGTTGTTATAGTTGTGTTGTTTACTTCTGTGGGCCATGACTACAGTATTGAGATATTCACCAAGAGAAGCAGAGGCAGGAGAAAGAACAGGAGAGAGAAGGGGAGAAAGGATGTCAGAGAACCCAGAGTGAAGACTTGTCCAGGGCTTGGAGACCTCCCGGCCTCCTGCCTCCCACCCCCCCATCCCTGCCTGCCATGTACCTGGTTGCTGCACTGCATGTAGAAGCTCAATAAAAGCCTGAGAAAGCCACTGAGGGCTCCAGGACTTCTCCTTTACCTGCCTGTCTGCTGGAATCATGGAAATCCTGCTCCTTCCCATCCTGCCCCTACAGCGGTTAAGTTCCTGGTTTAAACTTGTTACATTGCAGAATAGAGCAAATCCATGCAAGGCACTGTATACATGACTGCATGTGTTTTTCTTACGAAACTAGACAGATTGTTAAGAAAAAATCAAGAGCATTTTCTTGCTTTACTATTCTTTATGGGCACTTACTGTGACTGGATGAGTTACCGTGAATCACCTGCATCTTTTTCATTTTTTATAGTAATGAAAACAGTATTGTTTTCCATTGCTTGCCCAGGTCACAAACTGTTGTTCTAAACTGCTTCTTCTCCTGAGGTACTACAGTTACTTTCCCCATTAAGATAAGGAAATGAGGCTCCAGCAGGAAAGACTAACTTAACCTACTTTACCAGTTGGGGTGGAGTCAGGATTCAGACCTTTGAGTCTGTGCTTCTGCCACTTACCTGCTGTATTTCTCCCTGTGGATGCTTAATCAAGGTTGATTATTCCAAAATATAGAAACAGTATTGAGGCATCGCAGGTGATGAGACTCTTTAGTTAAATTCATTTTTGTCCATTGTAATGAAATTTTTAAAAATGAAATTCAAATGATTGGAACATTCCCTCCTGTATTTGGAGAAAAAATGTTCAGAGCTATATCATAGAAGGTGATTTCATCAAAGGGCACTTAGTCTGATATAAAATGTCTGCCCATGTATAGGAATTTGAGTTTTTAATATTCTTACTTTTATCTTTGGTCCCTTTACTGCAAAGTACTTTGAGCTCCCTCTTTAAAAAATTGCTCACACAACCACAAATTATTTTCAGTGGAAATTATATTACTTGCATTTTTCTCACTACTTCTAGTGATGTGCCAAATGAAAATTGAATTTGATCAAAAGAGAGGAGTATAAAGAAAATGGATACAAGTATATATAGCCTCAAATGAGAAGTAAAACAATCCTTTGTTAATTGAGAATGATTTAATTCTTCGCTTGTGAAGAATGATGTAGAGTAAATGGTTTTCAGGCTTTTCTGCCCTCCCACCATCAGGATTGCCCTGCCTGTTGAGGCACCTGCAGTTGGTACATTGTTGTGTTGTTTACTTCTGTGGGCCATGGGAGGAATACTGAGATCATCTCCAGGAGAAGCAGAAGCAGGAGAAGAGGAAGCAGGAGAGAGGCAGGAGAGAGAAGGGGAGAAAAGAAGCCAGAGAAACCCAGAGTGAAGACTTGCTGGGGGCCTGGAGGCCTGTTGGCCTCCTGGCCCCCCAGTACCCCTGCCTGTTGTGTACCTGTTTGCCACACTACATGCAAAGCTCAGTAAAAGCCTGAGAAAGCCACGGAGGGCTCCAGGACTCCTCCTTCTCTGCCGAATGATAGACACCTGCTCTGTGCCATTCTGCCCCTACAAATGATCAATTTCTTAGAAGAGCCCTTTCAGAAAGCAATTTCCCTTTATTAAGAAAACACATGTGATAGTTAAGCACACTACTTCTACTATACTAGTTTTGCTCATTTTTTATATATTTAACTTGTTTAAATGCATAATCAGGTTTTAGAATTAGTCTCACTATTTCATATAAGAAATAATAAATTGATTTATTTTAAAATTAAGATACATGTGTGGCAAAATTGTTGAATCTTTTGGTAACCCTGTAGCAATTTATTATACCTTTCTCTCTACTCCTGGATACACTAGACAATTTTCCTTCAGTATCAAAACTGCCTAGTGTAAAACTGGCTTGAGTGGTGTGCTTGTAGTAACAGTGTATGTCATGATTATAAAAAAAAAAATCAGGCTCTTTGTCCTGTTGACTGGTGTGGGAGTTTGTGAATGTTTCTCAGTTTGCACAAATGCTTCCCACGTATCAAAGCTAATAAAACAATTGCAATTTATTATATTTGTCTTTATGGTGCATCAAGTTGGTAGCATTAGTAAAATCCTATGTGAACTTTAGTTTATTTTGACCTTGTGGCCTGTTTTTCTCCCCTATTTCTCTTCCTTCAGAGGTACATTGCCATTGGGGAACTTGGGAAGGCTACGGACACCCTGGATTCCACGGGGAAAATAACAGAGGAGAAACCTTACGGTATGAAGTTCACTTAATGTAGCTCTTTTATTTTCATCATTTAAAGAAAAGTTTTATGAATTCAGAATTTAAAATTTTTTAAATTTTACATCTTTTGCCTGCTATTACCAATGATTTTGGTTTTCACTACATTTCCTTGGGTTATGAAGATTGGAAATTGCTTATCACATTGTTATTTACTTTGTGTGAGTTTGTTAATATTATAATTGCCTCATCCTAGAATCAGTTTTTTAAATGTTCAGTATTCTTCCAAATATCTCCCTTACCAAAAGTCATTTATAGCTAGTATCTAGGACATTTTTCCTAGTACATGAGAAACAAAGCAGAGAGAGTCTCTGTTAGATTTACCTGTGTCTTGCCATTATTTTTATTTTTTGTTTTGTATTTCTTATCTGTGAAAATGAATGTACCATGTTTAATACTTTAAAATTAATCATATTTCTGTGCTTTCAGAGTATGTAATGAGATAATGACAGAAAGCAAGCTATTTTTCTGGCAGTAGAGCAGAACTCAATGGGGCCCACCTTAGTTTTTCTACCATTCCTTCCTTCACTACTTTAAGAAAGGATAGATAAATGAAGTGGTTTCCTAGCAACTCTTACAGTGCTTATGCTATTTATAATTCAGTGGTTGCTGTTTTGTGCAGTCAGCTCACCTACATTATTGTGTGTCATCAATTGTGAGCTATGGACTTCCTGGGGGTGGGGCTTGGCCTGTCTTCAGTGTTACCTATTCTTAATGCACCTGTAGGCAGTCCAGCCTCTGGCTTCCCTGTGTTTTTGTCTTCTTAATATGTATAATATATTGCCCCAGCAGTTAAGAACAAGCTTTCTTGTTTATGAGAAAGGTTAACCTTTATATGTAGCTTATTATCTTGCTTGATTAACCAAGCAACATAATGATGATTAAAAAGTAGATGTTAAATTATCCTTGGAATTATTATTATTAGGAAATAATAGCACTTATGGAAACCTAACAATGGAAACCTAACCATACTATTCAGTCAGAAAGCTTCTAGATTACAGAGGTGTGGGGAGGGCCACCGGAAGATTTCAGATTTCCAGAGTATATTACAGTTTACATCTGTACACATATTGTTAGAAGAATGGCAAGGAAGTAAAATAGGGAGACACGTTGACCAGATGGGTGTAGTTAGTGGGAGGAGGTGAACCATGACCTAGGTTTTTGGGTTTTAAAACCGGCCACATGGCTGTGCTTCCTTGGAGGAGGGGATACAACAAGGGACCAGGGTGATGAAAGTACTAAGCATACCCATCCATTCTGGCCTTCAGCATTATGAAATCTCTTAAAACTCTACTTTTTGTTGTATATTTTATAACCTTATCTACTTACATTAAGGAAAGCCTACTTTGTTATAATGATGCAATAAATCATGAAAAAATTATTTTCTTCAGATCCTACAAATACAATTTACTGAGTAGTATTTGTAGTCCCAGAAAACAAGAGCTCACTTTTGCCAATTGACATGGTTTTTTCTATCATCAATAAATCAATAACTGTTTACCATCTGGAAAAACTGCTCTAGCATTTACCAAGGGAAAGGAAAATAAGTGTAAGACCTAACCTGTGCCCTTAAGGAACTTCTGTCTAATGGAGAACTCGCCCCAATGTTCTCACCAACTGAGCCCTGTTCTGAGACTTGTGCCACATGATGCCCTCTTTACTATTCTGAAATAAAGAAATACTCCAGTACTCCACCCTGTATACACATTTGAAAAAGTCAATACAGTAAACAAACTATAAAGAAGAAATAAAAATAATTTATTATAAAATAGGCACATCAATTTGTAAGTGCACAATTTCTACACTAAAAGTTTTAGCAAAATAGCTATTTAAATGTACATCTTAATCACTGAAAGCCACAAGTGCAAATGCAGATTGATGTGGGTGTGTTGTATTGATGACTCAGTACCGGAAAACTCGCTATATCTGAAACTATAAAAAAGAAATACTTTGTGTTTAAATGGAAAACGGAATTAGGTTCTAGCCTCTGGTAATTGCAGACAGATACCCTGAAGTCCCAGTACAATGGGCACTTCATGGAGCCACGGCACCCTGCCCCCGGCAGGACACCCAGCATTCCTGAGCCCCACCTGTTCAGTGCTGCCAACGCCACCCCCCACCTGATCATTATAACTGCCAGAAACACAGATCTTAGTTGACCTGTTGAGAATAATGACATTTGGATACAGTAAGACAGCACACAGTAATAGAAAAGAATGTTACGAAGTCATTTTGTCCTAACAAGACTATTTTTAGTCATTGTTTCCAAGAGATAAAAGTTCGCTCAGAGGAATTAAAAAACAAATCTGTGGCTTAGTAGACTCAACTTTCAAACCATAGTAAGAGCCCTTCTCTTTATTCTTTATCCTCATATCTGTTTTGCCTAAATAATGTTTTCACTGTTTATAAATATATATTTACTTGTTAATCCCTAAGCTATAGGGCTGAGATCATCATTCTTTGATTCTTGGTGTCTAGAACAATGTGCAGTATATAGAATAAAGCCTTTAGTGATAAACTAAATAACAAGTAAATAAATTGAATATTAATAAGGCAGGTGATAGAAGCATTTATGAAGATTACCACAGTAAGTCAGAAGGGAGGCAATGCATCTTCGTACCTTCTCTGCTCTTTCCCCTCCCACAATTTAGTTATTAAGTCAGGCAGTTGCTACTCTTTGAAGAGACCTGTCCCCACTAAGCTCATAACACTAGAGCTGTTGTGGCTTTCTGGGCTGTTTTAGATGTGCACCAACCTTCTGGGAAGGCCTAACTGCTCCTGCAATGGGAATCCTTTTTCCCTATTCCTTCTCTGCCTTTATTTTATTGTGAAGCAAGAAATGTGGAAGGAAAGGGAATATAGCATGCCTATACTGTGTGCTAAACACCACCACCCCTTAGTCCCAAGATAGGGTGTCAGACCTTGGTTATATCGAGTAGGAGTGACTCCTCCTGGACTGTGGTTTGCTTGCCCACACTTCCTGGAGGAAGCTAGAGGGTTGACTTGGTTCTCAATTATGATTTGAGCAAATAGAGCAGATCTAGTATGTAGCCGGCTATCAGTCATCTTGTAGCTGCTTGATATACTTTATATTTAAACTTTTTTATTGCAAAGTATTACATAAATGAGGAAAAAATGAGCGAAGCATAAATTTATAGCTCAATGAACTATCACAAAACAAGTATCATGCAGGCTGCCACTACAGCCAAGACATAGAAACCCAGTATCAGCCCCCACTCAGTCACTACTCCTATCTCTCATTTCCAAATTACACCACAGTGTGTGAATCAATAGATGTGTGTGTTTTCATTTATGCATATTACACATATGAATGTGTACACTTATACTGTAGACATACACACTCTTCTGTTGGTAGGCATTGGGGTTGACCCCGTTTGAGGACTTATGAATAAAGCCTCACAGTGTATTTTGTGTCTGTCTTTTGGTGGACACGTATACTTATTTCTCTTGGATATGTGCTTAAGTAGAATTACTGGGTCAGAGGGTAAGTATATATTTTTTGGTGCTGGAAGTTGTCAAGCAGTTTTCAAAGTGGTTGTCCAACTTTGTTTCCACTAGCAGTGTATAAGAGTTCCAATTGTTCCACATCCTTGGCAACAGATGGGATTAACAATATTTTTAATTTTGGTCATTGTGTTTAATTTTGGTCATTGTGGTATTTTGATTGACTTCAGTTTTATTACTGATGAGAGTAAGCATATGTTTATCATATGTTGTTGGCGCCTTCACCCTCTTCTTTGGTAGACTGTCCAGGTTTCATGTCCATTTTCTGCTTTTCTCTTTTCCTGTTGAGTTTCTCCCCTTTTAATATCAATATATATGAACTCCTTATATAATCTTCTTTTGGTGACATGTGTTGCAGATACTGTCTTCTCTGTGACTTGCCTTTTACCTCTCTTAGTTATGTCTTTTGGAAAGCAGAAGTTCTTAATTTAGTCCAGTTTACCAAGTCTTTTCCTTTGTGGTTAGTCCTTTTGGTGTCCTGTTTAAGAAAACCTTTCCCGCTCCAAAAGCACAAGGATATTTTTCTATATTCTCGAAGCTTTATTGCTCTGTCTTTCACTTTACATATCCAACTTATTATTTTTTTCTGTGTAGATATCCAGTTGGCCCAGCACTTCTCTCCGATACTTTGCCTCTTTGGTGCAAACCAAGTACCACGTAGGCGTGCGTTTGTTTGTAATCTGTTTTTTGGATCCTTGTACTAACACCCAGCTATCTTAATTGCTATAGTTTTAGAATAAGTCTTGATTTCTGGGAGAACAAATCTTCCTACTTTATTTCTTACAGATTTTTTTCTGTAAGTTTTTTATAGACATAAGGAAGTTGCTTTCTATTTCTAATTTATTAGTTTTTTTAAAAAACATAAACCAGACACCTAATGTTATCAAATGTTTTTTTCTTTATATATTGATTTTTCTCCTTGTTCAAATATTAAACTAGCTTTACATCATAGGAATAAGCACAACTTGATCATGATGTGTTATCCTTCATACAAATTGCTGGATTTAGTTTGCTAATATTTAGTTAAGGCTTTTCATCTTTGCCTATGGGTGAGATTTCCCTGTATTTTTCTTCTCTTGATGTCCTTGACTGGTTTTGATACCAAGGTTAGGGTGGGCATCATAAAAATGGATCGGGGAGTAATATCTTTTTTCCTGTACTCTGGAAGAATTTGATTCCGTTTGGTATTTTTCTTTAAAAAAAAAAAAATAGTAGAATTTACTGGTTGATATCTGGAGTTCTTTTTGTTAGGAAGACTTTTAATCATGGATTGGATTTCTATTGAACTTAATATTTTTAATTCTTATATCATTTTAGATCTTATTTTGCCTAGAAATTTGTCCATTTCATCTACATTTTCAGACTTACTGGTAAGAATTGTTCATAATCCTTTATGACCTTTCTTTTTATTTTGAAATAATATTAAACTTAGAGAAAATTTGCAAAAATAGAGCCATAGTTTTATAGTTTTCAGTTTTGTATATGAAATCCCTAAGTAATTCATATTTTTGATTCTATTATAAATTGGATTTTAAATTTTTCAATTTCTGATACTTTGTTGCTGATATATAATAATGGAGTTGGTTTTTTTAAATTGATCTTATTCTTTTAATCTTGCTAAAACTCACTTATTAGGGCCTCCCGGGTGGCGCAGCAGTTGAGCGCTGGGTTGCAAAGCTGCCTGCAGCCTCTGCAGCGCCGGTTCGATCCCCGGCTGCGGGGCGAGGGCCCCACATGGTGCGCAGACCTCTCCTGCTGCCCGCTGATCCCCTCAGCAGTGTGCTTCAGTCCTTCTGCCTGCTCTGCTCCCCGCTCTGGTGAATTCTCTCACCCTCCTGTGCTTCTGACTGTACCCAGTGCTTGTATAAATAAATAAATAAATAAATAAATCTTTTTAAAAAATAAAAAAATAAATAAATTAGGCATTTCTGGGGCTTCTATAAAATGCCCTAGATACTTAGCAGTTTCTTCATTCAGCATGGGTTGGATGGAATTCGAACATCTTCCAGTTTTTTTAAGAGCTCTAGTAGTAGTAGTTCTTTGGTTAATTTTGCGGTGAGTGTGTGAGAGAGAGAGTGTGTGTGTGTGTGTGTGTGTGTGTGTGTGTGTGTGTGTGTGTGTGTTGGAATTTAGCCAAAGTCTGAAGCAGACCCAAGAGACATCTTTCTCTGTTTAATTCTATCAAATTTTACTTGCTGTTGTTTCCCCAAATCATGATCTCTGGTCAGTGAGGTCCCAGTGCTTTGTTTGAGATTCCCCTCCTGCATCACCTTTCAGGAGGCACCAGCAACCAGAAGCAGGTGATTGTGGGCCTTAACTTATTTTCCCTTCTTACAGGGACTGCAGTTCTGGCTACCTGTTGTCCATTGTTCACAGTAGTTGTTTATTGTCTTTTCCCCAAATTAATAACTGCTCATGGTGGCAGAACTTGTCCAATAACAGTTACTATTGTGGTCGAATTTTGTCTTTAATCCATACTTCAGTTAAGTACCAACTACCCTGTTGTAACTTCACTGGAAGAGTTAATAAATTTTAAGCAAATATAACATGTAATATGATCTTGTATATATTAATTTTATGAGAATGATGCTCAGGATTAATTGCAAATGTATAATGTCACATTGATGATTTATTAATTTACTGAACAGAAAATAATTACCCAGGTCCACCTTTTTTTTTCACATGTACATCTTTAGGCTAGTTACTGGAAATACTTGCTTTAGAGATTTTAGTCTCCATTTTTTTAAAAATCCGTTGGTGGTAGTCTTTATTCTTACAAAGATAATATTATTACTTGGATTGGACCAATGCCATGTTTTCAAATATAGCCAGCGTGCTTCACTACACTACATGTAATGAATATAATAAATATTCACGTTTATTCTAAAATACTACATTTGCTTTTGTATGGGCTTTCTGTCTTGTGATTTAAACATCAGATGAAGAATTGGTCTATGTAACTTTTAAATGCCCTTTGACCTTGAAATTCTATTGTTCTTCAGCAAATTAAATTCAGCAAGAATGTCTCAGTGCCATCTTAATTTTATACATGTTATATAAGAAAATATACTGGCCTTGCCTTTGAGGAGCTTAGCATTTCATTGGTGAACTAATATATGGTAGGTAATAGAAACTAAGATTTTATTGCAGAATGAAAATACAAACCATGATGCATAAGTTGTTTAGTCAGAGAGAGACACCATGTAAAAGTGGAATGAAAAAGAACACATCTTGTCATCTTGTGTGGGGGAATATCACTAAGAGAGTCACCCAAGCAGGGCAAAGGAGTTCACATTTGCAGGAATGTCAGTAAGGCAACCAGCCTAGCAGAAGTAGAGAGCTGCCGGGTCTTATTTTTAAAATGTGTGGCTAGATTATGAGCTATTGCAGTTTTATCAACAATGGCATTTCTTTCAGCAATTGCCAGCCTGGTGGTAGCATTGGCTGTCTTAGATTTAGAAGTTTTGAATAACTCAGGTGCCACTAGTAGTTATGTTTTAATGTTGTAGTGGAACAAGAATTTTTGTGGAATATTCTCATCTATATCATGAAATCCATCTGTTCGAAAACAGTATAGCCATCTGACATCTGCCTTTTTGGAACTGCTAGTTGTTGGAGAAATCCTTTTGAGTTCTGTATTTCCTTCTTTGAGTCTAGTAGATTCTGGTCTTTTGTTCAAGTTTAGCATAGGAGGGGGATCAAGTGTTTAGCTTATGAGGATCAAGGGCACATTGAGGTTAAAACAGTCTTGCTGTGTTGATAGTGAAATGTAGGCCAATATTCCATGTTGTCTTTAAATTTTTATTCTGGTGTTAGAATAGTAATTCAAAGCACATTGATTAGTTTTTGTTTAATATTATTCAGTTAAAATAAAATGTCATCAGTATATATCAGGATAAGAAGTTAAATGGGTTTCCTTCAAAGCACTGTTACTTCTTTCCATGATTATTCTCTAAATAAGTTGAAGACTCATCTGTTAGTATTCCAATCCCAAATACTAAGTATTTGCTTGATAAAACTATAGAGCTGTAGTTTAACATTACATCATTTTGTTAGAAAGAATATCAAAGATGAACACATGACTAAGTAATACATTTTGAAACCTTTCTGTTTTTCTAAATTTCCTAAGATTATTGTTTAGGAATACTTAGATATGCTAAAATCCTTGCTGTGTAATAATCTTTTTGCACTGGGTGAAAGTCAGACTTCTAAGAGTACTCTTTAAAAGAACAAAATTCCAAGAGCAGCGAGCAGAGGGAAGGAGACAGATAAATACGACTTTGCTTGGGGACAAAATTTCATGTAAGTGTATAAAATTTATTTGATACCAGAGAATAGTTTTGAAGTCTGTCAGTTAAAATTTAAAATGTGTTGATACGTGAAGATGTTCAGTACCACAATTGCTATTTACAGTATTTTGATGTCTGGAGAAATTTAGAAAATAACTCATGGGTATTTTTCTACTTGCTCTCTGCTCACCTCATTTTTGATCATCACAGGACCACTTCTGTAGCTAATGAAGTACTTCCTCAGGTCTTCTAAAAGCCATATTAAGAACCAACTAAATGCATGCAAGATGATTTGATCATTTCTGTTGGAGAAAAAAATTGATGTAAAGGAAATTTAGTCTTAATATTGAACAATGGAAGATTTTTCTCCCCCTCTTTCCATATGAATGTATTTTTATCCGCTTCAACAAGGTAAAATTTGACCTGCAAAACATATGCTAGAGTATAAACCTTGTTGGAAAAATTTTTAAATGTATTTTCAGAACCATTGGTGCTTTGAAAAAAGTGTACGCAAAACTAGTTTCAGTATCACATTTTTGTTCATTTTTGGCAGATAAAATAACACAAGAAGATATCGAAGGTATTCTACAGAAATTTACTGGAAATATAATGCAAGTACCTCCACTGTAAGTTAAATTATATTTGAATAAACATTTAATTTTATTTTCCAATGCCCAATGTCACTTTAATGATAGAGGGGGGATTTCCTTTAACTATGGCAAGGCAGGTATTAAATCTAATATAGCAGATGACATCCTCACTTGAAGGGGAGCCTGATTTAGACAGAATGCTGAGCTTCTGACAGTGGGAGCTAGTGCCATGTGGTCTGCCTCTGTCCCTGGACATTGCCGTAGTCTGACATCCATGCTGTTCCAGCATTTATCATTTTTTCTGATTCCACCTACATACACAGGGCAGTTCTGGATCCCAAATATGTCACTTCTCCTAGAGTTGCTGTGAAGGGACCAGTCTAGTCTGATATAGGTGTCAGAATTGTGATTGAGTCCAATTGTCACTGCCTGTTGGGTGTTAGGAACCATTTCTTTTGAGCCTGGAATCTTTGCTTCACAATTCTCTGTAACAAATGAAACAGGTGAAAGTATCATTTATTGAAAGTGTGTGTGTTTTGCCCTACTACTTAACCATGATTTTTGGGCCTATCACTCTTTTAAGCAAACTGCTTATTTTTTAAATGACTGAATGGTTATCAGATATATCAGGATAAGTCACTGATGATTCTTTTAGAATTTAATAACAGTATTTTAAAATCTTGGATTTTTGCAAAAACACTGAAATGAATGGAGAAATATTTCTTTGTAATTTTCCTTCAACTGTAAAGATTTAAAAATTTTAGCAGGCTCTGAATAAACCTTGTTTTGGATCATTATTGTTAAAATATACTCAAGATGTTTATATGTATTTATAAGAACTGTTTTAGAATTTTCTTCTCTGGCATTGTTCCAAGGATTTTGTAATCTAGTAAAATTTGATCATACAAAGCTAAGATCTGTTAAGTAGATTATTTGCTTTTCAGAAACATTGTGGTAACTTTTATATGAAAAATGCATTTTATTATAATGGAAGTTGTTTTAAGGAAATATTAGCAGGATCACTGTGACCTCGTGTCCTTGACACGGGAGCAGGGCTAACGAGGACGCAGAAGACCCTGTCCAGGAAGATGGCTGGAGAATGAAGTTGGCGTAGTGCTCGTTGAGTGCCAGCATGAGCTAGATTAGCCCAAAAGATGTTTAGGAACTCTGTCCCTGGCACCATTTTGGAGCAGATTAGAAGAAAAATTAGTTCATTTTTTTAGATTTTTCAACTGAAAGGGCTGCTAGTCATCCTTTCGTTCATCTGGAGTTATTGTCCTCAGTTCTTCCTTTTCCTTCTCTCCCTTTCTTCTCTTTCAAGCTATTCTGCTTTAAAGAAAGATGGACAGAGACTTTCCACTTTGATGAAAAGAGGTGAAGTAGTAGAAGCCAAACCTGCCAGGCCTGTTACTGTATACAGCCTCTCCCTTCAAAAATTTCAGCCACCATTTTTCACATTAGGTAAGATGGAGACATTTGAAGTTATTTATATTTACATGTACCTTTAGTTTGTGTTTGGCTGCATTTTTAGAATTATAATGATCCCCAGGATATTAGAGATTTTTAAAATTTTGAAATTAAGGCAGGTTAGAATTTGTTAATACCTTTTTGATAACACATTTAATAAAAACGTGATTGCTATATGGAAGTTCAAAAATGCCCTTGTAAGTACACTGGCCTTCATGTATTGTGTTCTTTTACTGTGATGGTGGAAATAACATTTTAAATCTCTGTGAAGAACAGCAAGTGTATGTAGGGAGTGTGTATTTTTTAAAACTTTATATTTGATATTTTATTATCTCATGGATACGTGTTTCCCCATATGAATAGTTGTAACCTAGTAGTTTACATTCAGCTTTAAAATTAACATGAGTTTAAATTAAAATTTAATTCAGGTTATCCATTCAAATGTGCCTGAAATTTATATTTGAAATAAATTTAAAAATCAAAAAGTTTGTTTCTCTTGTTTGGAAATTTTATGATCTGCTTGAAGTAAGAGGCATGAACCTACAGGAACTGCGAAGAACCAAAAACTATAGTTCTGGCTCCCTTTAATTCATCCTACTCTTAATTTCATAGTGCATAATAAATAGGATTCCTTTTAGAAATACTTTCCTAAAACCTTTTTCATAAACTTTGTTGCTTTTTTCCTTTGGTGTTATTATTATCTAATGTGTTTTAAGCTCATGTAGAGTGTGGTTTTTATACAATTAAAAGAGCTCATACTTTGCCCAGGTTTCCTGATTCTAAAATGTTTGACAAATATTGAAAACAAAAACCACTAAAAATATTTCACTCATTTCCATGGTAATGCAACAACTTGACCGGCAGAGTAGATATTACCTATGCAAGTAAAGACTCAAAATTTTCCAATTTCATGTAAGTTGTTAGGACTTTATTTTGTTCTTTGGAAATTGTGATACTCCAAAAAGGGCTGTCAAAAAATAGTGCAAGAATGTTAGCTTTATTTTTTTTAAATCTCAACAGTAGTCCCCAACCTTGAACTTACAGAGAGGGATAAAAAATTAAGATTTCCAGGTGGCGAGTTTTGATTAATTCCCCAAATAGCTTTATGTGTATGATAAAACTAGAAACAGCTGGGATAAGGTCGTTTTGTGTGGAAATTTTCAGAATGTCTTGTGGATGAATAAAAATAATCCAGAGCCCAGCTTCACCAATAAACTTGTATCGTACTGTATTAAGATGTTTAGATATGCATTCAGTTCTGGGACATTGTGTGATCTTAAGTTATTTTTTTTAAAGATTTATTTATTTATTTATTTATACAAGCACTGGGTACAGTCAGAAGCACGGAGGGTGGGAAAATTCACCAGAGCCAGAGGGAAGAGCAGAACAGGCAGACTGACGAAGTACACTGCTGAGGGCAGCAGCGGGCAGCAGGAGAGGTCTGCGCGCCATGTGGGACCCTCACCTGGTGGCCGGGGATCGAACCGGCGCTGCAGAGGCTGCGGGCAGCTGCACAACACAGTGCTCAACCGCTGTGCCACTGGGGAGGCCCCATCTTAAGTTATTTTATGATTTCTATTTTTTAAGTGTACAAATCAGAAAATATTATAAAAATCTATAGTTTGTGATAGCAAAACTGAAATGTTTAATCATTTAAAACCTATTAAATGAACAAGGCATATAATTCTGAAGGTTTTTTTTTTTAAATCTACAGCTCATGATAGCAAAGCTGAGATTTCTAACTATTTAAAACCTATTAAATGAACAAGGATGAAGTATTAAAATGGTATGACTTGCCAGTTAATTTAAAATGTGTTCATGAGTCTCTGCTGTTTGCTTTCTCCACACTCTGACTTTTCAATCTCACAAACGCATATGCTACTGGATGAATAATTTATGTTTTAGCACATAAATATTTTATCACTCAATTGTTTGCATAGTGCATTTCTACATTTGTTTAGGGGCATCATTTCTATGTAAAGTGGATTTCATAGGAGGTTAGCAATTTACCATGTCACTGTTAACATTCCAGATGTTGAATGTGGAGGAGGTTTTTATATCAGAAGCTTGGTCAGTGACATTGGCAAAGGTAAGCATAAAGCCGCATTAGGGATTATCATTTAGAGGGTAATATTCCTTTTTTATGAGTAGAAAAATTTTCTGTGTTTTTGGCTTTTTGGTTTTGTTTTGTTTTGTTTTGAATCTGAGTACTGGCCTTAGGAATTGTACTCTTGCTGCCTTCAGCTTTAGCAGCATTGTAGGTTTATAGCATACAATTATCAACATCACAGCTGCAATGAAATGATTATAATGGGAGAAAAGAGAAAGAGCAACAAAAAGATGAAGAGGGTAATAACGAATGTAAGGGCCATCATTTTTTCAACTACAAAATATTTTAACTCTAAGAAGGAACAAGAAAGCCAGATTTATCCATTTGAAAGTTATTTTCATTGATACAAGTTAGATTTTTTCAAAACTGAAAGCTACTGTCTTACAAGGAGCACACAGTTGCAGCCCTTTCTCTGCCATTTGCTGGCATTTGCTGGGCAGGTCATGAGAGCTCATCTGCAAAGTGAAGTAATAGTTACCACGTGGGGTGGCTTCATGGGTTAAATAAGGGAAGTGGATGCAAATTCCTTGTAGACTTTGAAGCAGCTTACAAGGTGAGTTATTAAATAATGTTTGCAAACAGGATTTGCTAAATATTATTTTGCTCCTTAGTTATCTCACTGCCAAGGCTCTTGGTTCTTAGATCATTGCAGTTTTAACCTTTGAGACACTTTTGAAAGGTTTCAATTGAGTTCTTCTGTCATTAGAAAAATCACGGACTAAATATTGAATCAGTTATCTTTGGACTTTTCTTTTTTGTCTTTCGATGCCATAGAACTTTCTTCATGTGCCAATGTCCTAGAACTGACCCGAACCAAACAAGGACCATTTACCCTTGAAGAGCATGCCCTTCCTGAAGACAAATGGACGATCGATGACATTGCACAGTCTCTTGAGCATTGCTCGTCTCTTCTTCCAGCAGAGCTCGCGCTTAAAAAATCAAAACCTGAAGAGGCTAACGAACAAGTTTTGAGCTGTGAATACATCACTCTAAATGAGACCAAGGGAGATGATGATGGAATTAAGACAGTTTAAGATTGGCTTGGGGTCATCATCATTTCCTTAGTTGACATTTGAATCGTGAGTGCAGAATGCCAAGCTACATGCAAAAGACAAGCAACTTTTTTTTGCATGAAGAAAACGTGCCCATTGTTTACAGTTTCTATAGTATACAGTTACCTGCTCTATACTGAAAGCCTCGCAGTTGTTTAGCTCTTTGCTGTACTGTGAAATATTCTCTTTTGATGTTATTAAGCTGTTAGAGTGGATTCAGGAAAATCAACTTTCTGATTTTAACTCTTTTCAAAGTCTTCCTGTGAAAAGTTGGACCTATTTTCTAATCAAAAAAGAAATGTGAGCTACATGTTTCTTTGGTGCCTCAAAAGTGAATGTACGTCAGTGATACTCTGACTTTATTTTGGCTTCCTGCTGGCTCTGTTGTAGTGAAATCCTTTAACTGTGTTTGAAAAGGCCATGATTTAACACTTTCCTATATTTGGGAGGATTTATGATTATTACAAACATTTCTTTGATAAAACTGCATTTGTCTGGTGATAGCTGTGTTTGGAAACTAATAAACTTTTATAATAAATATTTATAAATGAACCAAATTATTACAGCTGCTTTTAATGTGATATAAATAGAAGACTTAATGTTTAATTAAATTCACCTTTATTCAACTGCTAGTGCTCCTGTGACTTATATTTTGGCAGCTGTGAGATCTTTTTCCCCGGTAGTTTCATCAGTGCAGTTGGCTACTCTGTACCAAGTTACTAAATAGTATAATTTTTAAAAGTCGAACTACAGAATGTGTCTTCAATTAAAAATTTCTACTCTCTATCCTTTAATATTTATACCTTTTTATAGGGCATTCATCCCCATGACATTTTTTTTTTTTAGTTTGCTCTTTCAAGTGATATTTATAGATGCTAAGATAGCTGGCCTGCAGCTCCAGTTAATCTCCTCTGCTCTAAATATTTAAAAACAGTTTTTCTCAAACATTTTCACTCAAATAGCTTACTGAATATTCCCCTCTCCTTTACTATAATTTGGAAAATATAGTCACCTTACAAAATAGCGGACTTCATATGAAATGACTGCTGGCATATTTTTGTTACAGGAAAGCAGTTTATTATGCAGCCAGTCTGTAGAAATGTTCAAATTCCACTTCATTTATTAAAAAAATAAAAAGTTTCAAAAGGAAGAATGATTAAAAATTTCATAAAATACAAGTTCTTAAATTTTTATGAATTACCTTTCTTTAAGACGTGGTTGATTTTAAAATTTTTAAAAACTATTTGAAATATGTAAAGTGATTTTATTTGTGGTTAACCTAATACAAACTCAGTATAAAAAGTTATATGTCTCAGTGGAGCATTTTCAGTATATTGGGAACATTTTAAATGAAAATACTAAAACTAATTTTTGTCATGACAGAATTGTAAGGAAAAGACTTGGATATCTTGATGCATTAAATAAAATACCAAACACATAAAGTTGTAACGTATGGTTACAATTTTAGTTATTTATGTCTAGTTCACTGTAGTTTGCACCAACCACAGGGGGCAGGGCTGCCTCTTTCTGCTGGGATACCCAGGATATCATATCTTCATTCACTGCCACTTGAGGTACAAATAGAGGAACACAACTTAAAACTAACATACATAATTTACCAGCGGGCAAGAGAAGAGATTATTTGGAAAGACAAATAACTTTTTTAAATGGTAACCAACTTTCATAGTGAAAACATTGAAGAGAATTTTGCCAAATGGAAATATTACCCATAACCCTCATCATCCTGGTACAGTGATATCAGAACTTTCATTTTTGAGTTAATATTTTCCCTTTTCTTATTATTTGTTCACATAATTATAGTCTTAAGACAACTATACTTTTTAATTGGTTTTCCCCATTTTTAATTATCTGACTCCATTTGTATTTAGTTTTACTAATGTTAATTTTAATCACATTCAGTTTATTTAAATTATTTCCCTATTGCTAAATGCTTGTTATTTTAAAATATTTTAGGATAAATTCCTGGGAGTGCAATTATTATGTGGAATAATATGAACCATTTTATGGTTCTTAATATGTTTGCCTTATGCTTTCCCAAAGAGTTGTAACATTTTACAGTGTCAAAATTGGAGTATATCAGTTCAGTAAAAGTTTACAGCTTTCTGTGGGGGTTTTATATGTTGTTGCTAATTTAGTCGGTGTAACAGTTCAACATGGCTCTATTTGCTTTTGTAGTCTTTTGTGGACTTTTCTGTATACTTTTTTCATTTATATAAATAAATGCCCTAATGGTTTCCTAATGCATTTGTATGAGTTATTTATTCAGTAGAATCTTGGTAGAAGTATTTTCATGGCTATTGTCTAGTTTTATTTTTCATTTTTGTTAACTGAATTTACTAATTTTAACAGTTCTTTCCCTTTTATAATGGACAGATTTATAAGTGTGAATAGTTAAAATTTATTGAAACTGAAATATGCTTCGTTCTCATAGCTGCTGAAATTGATCAAGGTTTTTGAAAAGTTAAAGAATCATTCGTAAAATGTTTTCTCCTGAGAGTCTGGTATTTAGTTACTAACTGTTTTGTCTTCATTTTAACCAAAATATTAGATATCTATGCCTTTTATATTTCTCCATTTAAAGCTTCAAAGCATAATAAAATTGACTTTCAGAAAAGAAAAGGATGCATTAGAAATTCCTAAAAAGTGGGGGGTGGGGTGGGATCAGCAGGGGGTGGAGTGGGGAAGTTCCAGCAGAGATGGCCATGGTCAGGAGCTGTTTAGTCAGTGACAAGGAGACTATGGATGGAGAAGAGGATGTATGTGGCTATATGGTTGGAAAGGCAGACACACGTTAACATCATTTAGTGCCTCAGGCAGAGTGGAGTAAAACTTCGGAGGTGGGACTGGTTCTTATGGAAACTTTATGTTCAAGAGATTAATCTGGCATTGATGTGCAGCAACAAATGAAGAGGGAGAACCAGGCAGACTGCTCTCTTAGAACTGAGTCTGGTGTGGTACTCCAAAATGAGGGGAATGACAAACTCCAGGAGTATTATTAGATAATGGGTTATCAGATAACCCATAATTGAACGGACAATTTAAAGTAAAACTGATGGTATTTAGTGCTCTATCACATAATTGAGCGCCAGCGAATCGGGAGTAAAGTGATTAGCAATAGTCATCAAATAGTTTTTCTTAAAGGAATTGAATGTGAATTTCATGCAAGTCATTTTTTTCTTAGGTGCTGGATAGTTGGTACAGTATGACAATAACAGTTCGTTGTGCGTGCTGTCCTCTGTGGCCAAGCAGCGCACCTCTTAGAAGGAACCATTCCTTTTCACTCCTCTCCAGAGTGTCTGACATATATTTAATCTATAGTTCACAATTATTATCTGTGGCAGTAAATTATGCCCGTGTTTGAGAGCACGGGCTCTGGAGTTGTAGGGTTTCCAGCCTCTACTACTTATCATCTATTAACCTTAGGCAAGTTAATTAACTTTTCTGAGCCCCAGTTTCCTTAATTGTAAAAGGAGGATATTAATAGTGTCTACTTCATAAAATTAAGAAACCTAAATTAGGTCATTAAGGTAAAATGTTTAGCCTGATTCTTAGAACGTAGTAAACAGAAGCAGATGCCCTATACCTGATTTATCTGTAGGAAGAGGATAAATCTTAAAATCTCATGGTTTATAGCTTCAGATCATACAATTCAAGGATACTCTATCTGATACTATTTTGGTAAGAAAAATTAATCTGAGATAAAGAATTTCCTGATAGCAAAGGTGATTAAATGGTACAACTGGCTATTGATGCAAACAGAAAAAGTCTTTAGGGAATATACATGTTTACCTTTAGTATGTCAAGTGTACTAAGTATAAATGTACATATATACATACTTTGACATACACACCATTAAAGTTAGTAAACTCCTTTCATTTACATACTTTCACCCTCCAAAGCTCCTGTGAAATTGGAAGAATCTGTGTGTCTGTTATTTAGATGAAGAACTTGAAGTGTTGCTGAGCATTAGGTGACTTGCCAAGAGTCACACAGCTAGAGTGGCAGAGCTGAGTCTCTGTACTCTGATTCCAAAATGCTGTTTATATTACATCTGGAGAAAAGCGATCTGAAGCACAGATGTTTAGTAGAAGGAATGCAACACACACGGTCATGCCAAAAAATAACTGGGAATAAAAGCAGAAAACAAGACATTTGTTTCTGTTATAATATGACAGAAAATAAGGCTCTTGTGGTTTGGGACTGAGCTTTCACAGAGGAGTGGGGAGTGGGCTGGTCTGGGTGAGACTCCTCTTGGAACTCTGCATCTGGTTCTGGGTTACACATTATGGGCGTAGAAAAACCAACTGGATGAGGTTCAAAGAAAAGCTCCAAAATGATTATGGGCTGGTGGTATTGATTAATAAGGGAAGATTAAAAATGTATAGCTCAGCTAAACAAAGACTAAGTTGAATGTAAATAGATTTCTGAAATGTGTAAACAGTCAAAAGGCAGATGCATTATTTAGCATGCTACATGGGGGTGTGATAAGTAGGTATAGGCAGAAAAATTAAGCTGACTATTAAAAAAACAACTTTCCTGATAACCTATTAAGGCTATGGATGGCAGAACCTTCCTGTGGAGAAGCAACAGAAATCTCAAACTTTATGACTTTTAACATTTCCCTGGGGTCTAGGTATTACATGATCAGAGATGATGATTAATTTGATCAGGTGTGAGAATGGTACTGTGGTTACATAAGAAAATGTCAGTTTGTAGCGTTACTGTGAAATATAGGAGTAGAACAACCTAAGATATTTGCTTATAAACATCGCAGCGAGGGAGAACAGGAGAGATGAAGTAAGCGTGGCAAAGTCAAAAATGTTGTAACTTAAGGTAGGTGCATGTGAGAGCATTTACTTTTTACTTTTATTATGTTATGCTTGAAACTCATCATAAAAAAATTTAAATACCATTTTTCCTGAACACTCCTGGCCTCCCTGAATGGAAGAGCCTTCTGGGCACCCAGGCAGACTTGTGGTCGATCAGGGCCAGGGCAGCGGGATTAGCGCGTCTGTTCACCGTCCGGTTCTTGTCTTGTAGCTGGGCCGGAGGGGTCTTTCCAAACCCATATGGAGGAACCCAAGAAAATTCTTAGAACTGTAGGAGCCTCGTGGTAGCTTCAGGATAGGAATTCCAAGGTGAAAGGGCAGAGAGCAGGGTAATGACCCCCCTCTCCAATTCTCTCCCGCCTTCCTGGAAAACGGCTGTCATCCAGCCAAGGCCTAGGTGCCTCAGGGACCACCAGTCCCGTCCTCTCGAATGAAGATGGTCCCAGTGAAGGATTTCAAAGCCCAGCAAACACCACAAAATTGAAGTTTTAAAAAATAATCTTAAAACCATCTTCTTTAACCCCTCTATGCGGCTCTCACCTCACCTTCTTGTAGATGAACATTTACGACAGGAAATTTAGGGAGCATTTGGAACATATTATGCCTAAGTCTACTCTTCAGTTTGTAAGAGAAATAGGAATATTTTATCTGAATTTCGCTGATGGTAATCGAACGTGAACACAGACCTAGTATCTGAGGATCTGCCATGTCTGAATTTCTCTATATTGCATTACTAGGCCAGCAAATGGCTGCTGATATGAAGCTCATGGTAGCTCAGAGCAATGGAGCGTGGTCACCTTTGGAACTGTCTGAAAAGGAAGCTGAGGGTGAATGGTGGAAACGTTTGGTGGAGTCTTTCTCATGAACAGACATGATTTCTCCATGCCTGGGGTCAGTGTCTTAGGTCAGACCTGTATCACTTCTTACTTGGGCTCTTACAAAGGCCCTGATTGGCTTCCTCTCCTCCCGTCTCTTCCCTAAGTCACCTTGCCTCCAGAGAAAGCATGGTGAGGCACAGCTAATTGTGTCATTCCTCTGTTTAAATTCGTAGCACCTACAGAATGAGCTACTACAAGGACCATATCTTATTTTTTTTTTTTAAAGATTTATTTATTTATTTATTTATTTATACAAGCACTGGGTACAGTCAGAAGCGGGAGGGTGAGAGAATTCACCAGAGCCGGGGTGGGGAACAGAACAGGCAGACCAACGAAATACACTGCTGAGGGAAGCAGCGGGCGGCAGGAGATGTCTGCGGGCCATGTGGGACCCTCACCCGGTGGCCGGGGATCGAACCGGCACCGAAGAGGCTGCCGGCAGCTTCGCAACCCAGCGCTCAACCGCTGTACCACCGGGGAGGCCCACCATATCTTATTTTTGAGTCATCCTGGTGCTTTGCATCGTTATCACAGAGACATTCTTCAATGAAGATCTGATTGAGGGCCTCCCCTGGTGGCACAGAGGTTGAGCGCTGGGCTGCGAAGCTGCCCGTAGCCTCTGCAGCGCTGGTTCGATCCCGGGCCACCGGCGAGGGTCCCACATGGCGTGACAGACCTCTCCTGCCTCGCCCGCTGCTCCCCTCAGCAGTGTACTTCATCAGTCTGCTTGCTCTGCCCTCCCCTCTCATCTGGTGAATTCTCTCACCCTCCCATGCTTCTGACTGTACCGAGTGATTGTATGAATAAATAAATAAATCTTAAAAAAAAAAAAATGATCTGATTGAATGCCTACAACCCCGTGCCTCCCATTTGCCTTTGTATGTATTTAACTTCTGCACAGAAGGTGGCTTTCCCCACTTTGTCCCCCTGCCCCAGTGATTTTTCAAGACTCTATATAAGGGTTACAGTAATGAATTCTTTTTCTTTTTCTTTTCTGATGGCCTGGCCAGAATTAGTTTATCCTCACCCCACTTGCCGTAGCATCTCATACATATGTTCCTTACTCTACTTACCCGCACCATTCATTTACTTGTCTGTCTGCTCCAAAGGCCGGCGGGCTCTTGGAGAGCAAATACTGTGTTTTTATCTTTATTTCCCAGTGTCTGACACATTCCTGGCACTCAACATCATCAGACTAAATGTTGGGAGCCAAAATTTTCTAAGCATGGGAAGGTACTGAGTACTCGACAAGTGGAAGCGAATGAATAAAGGGAGATGGTATTCATTTAGTTGACTTTGATCTTTTCTGTCTGTGGTTGAAGGAGAGCATAGCCACAGCAGGAGATCTAGCAGATCTCCAGATTTACCACGAGCCTACTGTTGGTCCCATTTCTGTGTTTTAGGAACAGGAAGATGAGCAATGCAGTGATATCTGCTGGAAATATTGATTCTACTACCCTAACCTGCCTCTCAACTTTAAGAATGTAGGAAAGAAATAAGATGCTATATAACTTATTCTAATTTGTGGTAATGCTGTTGTTTCCTTTTTAAGGAGGGGGTGAAATTGGAT